AGGATGCGCTATGGGAGTTTTGGGGCCCCTTCTCATTCTGTTTCTGTGTGATTCCCAGCTTGTGAGAACTAAACTTGGCTGATGCACAGTTTTTCCCGTACAGACTAATTTCAAACTGATGGTACTGGGCAAACTGGTCAGCAGTCATCAAAATTGCAATGAGAAATACTAGCTATTCCACCAACAGAAGCTTTTTGTGTACTGTGGGCAGAACTCCAGTAAAATCCTGTGAATTAAACCCTGTTGCATTAAAGTGACATTGATTTCAGAATTCTGTTCTGTGACAAATCCAAATTTGGGATTTTCTGGTCTTCGTGTCTATCTTAGGCAGTTAAATGAATGCAGCCCTTCTAATACTCCCTGTGCATTAGGTGAAGTAAATCCTCTCTCAGCAGTTATCTGAAGACACCTATGGAGTTCAAGGAAAAACAGCAGCTCAGGCACTGGAGCGCAGACCATTGTCATGTTTATGCAAAACTTGCTTCCCGCGCCCCGAAAGCCGTTCGTCCCTCTCTGCACGGTGCTGCAGTTGGTAGCACAGCTTACCGCATCAGGTGCCAGAGGAGGAATAGCACAGATGGGAGAAGCACATCTCAAGCTCCTGTCCTTGGTCTCCCATGGATTCCCAGAGAGCACTCGAGGGCAGGAAGAACTAGAAATCAAGTAAACCTCTGCCTCAAACCCAGGAGCATCTCCCATTGTCGAGGGGCATGTCCAGTCCCTTGGCACAGTTCCCAAAGGAATTGCACTACGGCAGAGGGGAGGCTCTGCGGCGGAGGGGGAGGATAGGCCCTGCTTTGCCTAGTGCTCTCCCAGGCCAGGGTTTGCAGCCAGAATAGACAGACAATTCCTTCTCCCCCAGAATAATGTACATAACTTCCTTCATGCATTATGGATTTCTCATGTCACTACCATTATATAGTAGCATACAGCCCATTCTTCCAGCCTTACCTTTTCTAGGACAGTAAAATACATTATTTAACAATAACAAAAAGGGTATTAGTTTGAGATTAAACTATGCGCTCTCCAGGTGCCAGAGCAGACTTTTAATAATTCACATAGACCCCATACAGAAATTGGACAGATAATGCTGACTGGGGTTCATGAGGCAGCTTTCCTCAGCAAGGCAAAGGGATTGTCCTGTAGGGCAAGGGGGAGCTGCTACATGGGGACATTTTGTAACCCAGGAAAACAGGATTCACCTAATATATTAAATAGAGAGTTGGATAATGAAGAAAAGGTACTTAAATTTTAATAAAGTCCAGGGGACATGGGTAAGTTCCCCATGTTCTCCATTAAGAACATAGGGAGCTATTTTCTTAATACAACTGGTTCAAAAGAAATTCAAGAGGCAGGGAGGGAAGAGAAGCTTCCTGGTTTGGGGGGTCCTTCATCTCTTTTCCATCACCTCTGCATTTCAGTGGCAAGACTGGTTCTGCTTGCAGGAAGGGCTTTGGTTTTGGTTTGGATCCACTTTTTCCATTTTATTGTGTTTGCCTTCTGTTTCCCCTCTGTTTATCCTTCTACTCTGTTTCTCTCTTTGTTTTTTTGTCTTTTTTTTTTTGTAACTAATACTGTTCCGGCTTCATCTTGCTACCACAGTCATGCTGGGAAGTGAAACAAGTTGCTTAATTGCAGCGCAGTACCCAGCAGGACACGTCCCCTCCCTGATAAGAGGTTGCTCTTATTTGCCTTCCTCATTTACATTCTCAGCAGAGAGGACAAGAAGGGACATGGAGCTCCTCACTCTGCTGACAAATGGTCCATGAAAATGGTTAGAGAGGGACACCGAGGGGAGCCCACATTGCTATGTGTGTGATGGATCTAAAATGCTTTGGTCCCAAGCCTGTCGGCTCGCGATCTTTCATTGGCCCAGAGTTCACAGGTGCATGTGAATGTTCCTAGACACAGTAGGCAAGATTTTAAAGAATTAGCTAATATTTTAGGGTGTTTCAAGATAAGGCATTTTGAAGAGACCCGCCTTTCTGAAACTGGTGAGGTCACAGCTTCGGGAAATGGGCACTGATAAGGACCAGTTAGGGAGCACAGGATGCACAGCAGGTCACTTCATCTGTCCGCTTCCTGGTGCTCCAGGATGAATTTCTTGTCCCCAAGACAACCACTCGAACTAAGCAGTTGCCAGTTGCTGAGCTGTCAGGTTCACATCTTTTATTTTTTTAACCTAATTAGGCTAGATTTATTTTTAACGCTCCTTATTACCATCCGCTTCTGACTTCCATCCATCTACTGCTGAGTACATGCTGCTCTTGCCAAAGCAAGTGTCTTTCAGCAGCTCTCCCAGCCCCCTGGAACTGTCCCACCCTGCAGGAGATCGCACTTGCCACCCGTGTCCCTTCTATTAATTCCACGGCAGCACATGCTGTTCGTCTGCCTTGTATGGTGCTCTCATATTAATAACTGTGCAAGTGGTTGTTATTTCTTTCTTAACCATTACCATAGCTGCCTGTTGTTGATAATTCAGGGTTAATTACTTACTAAAAAGTTTAGCAGAACAATTTAGATTCGCTTAGCCTGTTCACTGATGAAGACTATAAATGTCTGCAGCCTATCACTGATACAGACATTACTGGAGTTTGGTATAATTGGCTTTTACTGAAGTGCTGCAGCAAAAATGAGGGTTAGTCCAACTGGCAAAGCCAGCTGCCTGCTTGTACACCTACTGCTTGGTTTTCCATTGGATTTTGGGCACCCACTTGAGAGGAGAACTGCCACAGTAACTCACCAGGCTCACTTATGTATCCGTCCACATTGCAGCAGCACCCAGCTTAGATACAACTACAGAAGTGCTGAAGCCCGGCACTAAAAAGGACATGATGGCAGCTGTAAGGAGTCCAACATTTCAGTTAGGTTTATGGTGCTGGCTTTATCTATCACAAATACATCTTACTGGAGATACACATACCCATGACAAAACTCAGATAGCGTTCTGTTTTATGGAAGAAGTGGGTGAAAAAATTGCCAAGAAGCAGCATCATTAAAGGTAATGATGCCTCTCCAGTCAGTTTCCTCTGGTCTGGCAGTCTCCTGCTCCCTGAAATTTTGAATTGAGGAGCTGTTACAGACAGAAGGCTCTGGCTATATACACTGCCCTCGGTTTCCAGTGAAATGGATGGGAACCGGGACCCCTTTCAGCAATGAGTGCTTTCCAACCACTCAGTCCCCATCTCCTGATTCCCAAAAGCAGAAGAAAGGCCATGTGTTCCCATCCAAGGGAAGGTGAGGTTTAATTAAACTCCTTTAGAGCAAAACTGGACTCTGGACACTCCACCCAGCTCTCTGGTTTTACTTGCATTACACTATTTGCAGCGAGCTGAGGCTGACTGGGTGCATTGTGGTACTCTGCATTCATTTAAGCCTTCACAACATAGGGCTGTGCAACAGGTCACCAAAGGCCTTTGGCTGCTCTGGGCACTGACAAGCAAGTGAAAGCCAAGACAGTTCCCCTCTTAGACACCTTCTAAATCCAGCATGGTGCTGCCTTCTTCTTTAGATGCCTAAATATCCTAAATATGCTTAAATATCTTTGTATTAATTTATGAGCGAGGAGGTGATTAATTGTTCCCTGACCTTCAGTTTCTTCATTGAAACTGTGTCACTAAACTGTATTTTATGTCACTAGAAGACAGCAGATGTAAAACAAATGCCTGCCTGCTCTAGAATGTCAAACAAGGAAGGAAATTACTTCCATCCGTTAATGCAGACAGATTTTCCTGAGAGGATTTTCTGCCTTCCAAATTCAGTTTTAAAATGCAATTTCATCCTCACAGGCCTGCCTGTTGGATTCCAGTGCAAGGGGCATTGCTTCAGTTTGTTGGCAGTGCTGGCAAGAACAACAGCCTGCCACTCTCTCATTTTCTTAATGTTTTTTTTCACTACAGAATTTAAAAACTAATTAAAAAAAACAAAAAAAAAAACAACCCACACAAGATAAATTCAGATTTTGGGTTTCTTCAGAAGGAAAGGTAGCGAGCATCCTTTCTCAAGAAATTAAATGACAATTTAATGAGCTCAAAAGAAGACTGAACCCCATGTACTTTACTTCTGTGGTCCAAGACTAAACACGCAGGAAGTAGACAGGGGACTTTTTTTCCAAATAACCAGCAAGAAATGTCCATTGGCCTTGGGTCCGTGAGAGCACCCGTGTTTGCAGCGCACAGCATCAGCACGTCCTGCAGCCACCCCCGTGGCCAATGCCTCTGCAGGCAAGGGGGAGGGAGCAGCGCGCTGGCCCCGTGCCGCCCCGGCACGCTGGGCACCGCAGCCCCCACTCATCTCCACGTATTTACTGTCCATGGCAGAATGGGCTTCCTGCTGTGCCAGGGCTCTGTAATTCCTTTTCTTTGGTTTGTCCTCTTAGGTTTTTGCATCAGCAGCATTCAACACTATCAGATCACTGTATCAGCACGTTCTTCAGGCCCAGCTGTGTGAGATCGTATTTTCAACTCACATCAGATCCAAAGTGAGTGTCATTGAAAACTAAACAAATTTTTAAAACCTTAAACAAAAACAATCAAGCTCAGGAGTAGCCTTGTTGTCACGTTGTCCCTGTACATTCATTTTTCTGTTCAGATTAGTCATGCACTTGAAGAATACGAAGTTCGCAACAGGGCAGCCAAATCTCATGTTCAGAATTAGGACCCTGGAAAGAAATAACAGCACGTAAACCAGAAAAGTATTAGCCCATGATTGCACTGAAGTCTCAAAGCTTAATGCAAGATGTGTTCATAAGTGCTTTTGCTGGAAAGAAACAGCCTCTGCCATGCAATTATGTATCTGAGCTCTGTGGAAAAGATCTGTTTACTGAGTGAGAAAGGCATACACCCCAGGCTGCTGGTCAGAGAGAGTCCTCTGTAATCATCACAGGCTGCAACACAAATACAACAGTTTCAAGACCTTTGACAGTTGATTAGTATTTTTCTCTTTTACAGAGTGAAGAGAGTTTGGACCTTAAAAGGAAAATGAGGAAAGGCTTTGATTAGCGGGATCACAGAGAAAGAAATGAAGAATGACAGTGGAGAGCAGTAAGTATACGCTGAAATCTTCCAGGGAAACTGTTGCCAGGCAGATTGCGATAGATTTTAAATTCCAAATGTAGATGGCCTCACATGTGCAGATGCCAAACACAGCTGTTTCTCTATGATTCTAAGAAGGTAGGAAATGCCAAAAAATTCAAAAGCACAAATTTGTGATAACTGGGAAATGCTCTACTTGAGCAACTCCTTTACCCCTTGGCATGGTCATAGAGAATTGATTCTGCTCTCTTAAAAACAACAGCTGTTCACTGCTGAAGGCTGTTCCTGGATTTGCACCATATTCGCTAGTGGAAAAGAGATACAAGTTCATACTGTTGTAGCCCATCTGCCCTGGGCCTTGACCCACACAGCTCTGTCAGTACAAGTAGTGGTGCTTTGGCCAGGCAAGCCAGTAGCAAAGGTGACTAAGCACAAAATTCTCTCAAAAGTACAAAGTAAACGAGAAATATCAGCAATCTGTGGCGTTACTGACAATGGCAAGCGTGCTATTTTCAGGCAAACGTGATTTGTGAGGTGATGGTTACTTCACCGGCAGTGAGTCACAGAAGCTTCGCCTCTGCGGCATCTCTCTTTCCCTTCGGCAGCACTTTCCACGGCAGGAACGGGTGTAGATAAGAGCAGTGTTTTAGGGCTTGTGCTGATAGCGCAAAAATGAGCAGAAACTGCTGTCGAGTGAAAACAGGCAGGAGAAATACAGGAAGAGGCCATGGAAAAGTGAAACACATTTCATACCGGAAAGGTTGGACTCTGGGGCGTGGATGAAGCCAGAAGCGACGTGACACCCCGCTCCGAGCGCCGCTTCCTCCTGGCTGGCAGCGGCGGTCGGCACAAAAGCAGGAGGGCGAGCAGCATCGGCCGCAAGCGCGGCTAAACCGGGCGTGGGGATGAGCTCCGGCACAACCGCTGGGTTTTTTTCCATCCTGGCCGGTGAGCCCCCGGTCGATGCGATTACCGGCTGCGGGGCAGGCGGCCGAGCGGCCGGTCGCCTCTGCGGGGAGGGCCGGGGTGGCGGGCGCCGCCGGGGAGCGCGGCCGCCGGCAGCTCCGGGCGGGCAGGTCCCGCTGCCGGCACCGCTCTGGGGTGTCCCCCACCCCGGGCACCGGTGCCCGCGGCCGCAGCAGAGCGGCTGCCAGCCAGCCTGGGAACCTGCGTGGCCACCCAGCAGTCCTTCCCCTCGAGTCTGGGTAGAAGATTACTTCCTCCTGATTCCTGGTAAAAATGGGATCTAGTATCGAGACTTCGGATTATTATTCTGATGCCTGCAGGCATCTTTCCATGTGAAAAAAAATGTTAAGGACTTTTTCTCTAGGATATTACATGATTTGCTATCAAAACACTTTGGAGATCCTTAAAAGAATAACGTTCCTGGGAGTGCAAGAAGTGATGTGCTGGTTTTAGGCTCTCCTCACCCTTAGTGGTTTTGGGTGGTACAACATGACATGTTGCAATTCATGTCATTTTCACATTTGGAGAAGTGGTCAGAATGGAGCAATCCAACCATCCCAGCTGAATACACTGTTGTTAACTGACAGATGCCTCAAGTGCGACAGGAGTCACGAGGCTGTTGTTGAGGTGCTGACTTTTAAATCCCAGTTGCATGCAGAACCTTGGCATACTGTCAGCATGTACGATTTTCAATTTCACAGGACATTTCTTTTGGTGTTACCAGTGGATTTTGTCTTACCTCCACCCTCCCTTTTTGTTAACAATGCAGGTATTATTTGGGGGGGCTCTCTCCTGTCTTACGTGATGCTGCGTGCGCTGTGTGATTCCCGGGGGATTTCTGTGGGCAGAGTCCTGAGCTTGCACGAGTGCATGCATATGTACACTCACATACAAATGCCAGACAACTCAATAACATGAAAGCTCTCACAGGCCATTTTACTACAGTCCCAACATTTGAAAGGTATTTAGGTTAGTATAAAACCAGGTTTCAGCTCCGGTCAGCTTTTCTTTGCAGAATACGGGGAACAGCTGCTGGGCCGGCGCGCGCTGCCTGAACAAAGGTCTCCTTCTGCTCCGAGTGGCCTGGGGGGAAGCTGCTGCTGCGTCTGGCCGGCCTGGCAGCAGGGCCCGAAATAGGGATTTGCCCCATACAGCTGTGGAGGTCAGACAATCCAGGGCTGTATTTTATATATATTTGTATTTTAAGTGTGGGAGTATGTTCTTCTCCTACAACCTACTTAGGCCTTGGAGAGAAGCAAGGCTGAATCAGTTCCTCAGACATTACCCTTTTGCATATTTTTACCTTATTTTTAAGAATCCAAAGCACGGTAAGAACAGCTCAGAGCTTTTTTACCAAGATCTGACCATGCTAATTTCAACAGACGAAACTTTGCTTTTAACACATGTTAAAATTAAAATATCGACATTTTCAAATTAAAATGTAATATGTTGAACTATTCTTATGTCGTAGACTGATAGAGCACTTTCATCAGTTGATGCAACTTCGCTCAGTTAAACTTTACTGATCTTGCTTTTATCTTCTTTGCTCAAATTAAGAGAGTTGTATGTGTAATTGAACTCAGTGGTAGCCAAGGCTATAAAGGCATATAAATGCAAGACCTGCCTCTCCAAAGTCTTCAGTCTCACTAAGAATGAAGCTCCCAGAATCACATTCAGATCAAAATGGATGCTACCTAAATCAGGAAAAAATTAATTTGCAGAGGCTCATTTTGGATCCTTCTATATGCAACAAGGGAGAATAATTATCTCTGTACCTGTAGAAACGTATCTTCTCTTATTCTATCCATTCTGTGGATAAAATGTTGTGTTCACTGCTTTGATAAAAGCTTTCTAAAACACTTTTATAATTCCCCAAACAAGCAACACAACCTACAGCGGTGCTTTTTTTTTTTTTTTTTAAAGCTGGAGGTTTATTAAGAAGTTGACAGATTTTCCTGTTTCTTGTAAAAACCAGGTGGGAAAAAATCAAATAGTTCTTGGCATTTAATATGATAATTGTAACTGAGACTCATAAGGTAAAGGAACTTAATGTCATTACCTATGCAAGATATGAAAATGCGTATCTTCAGAAATAATGACCTTATTACAGTGTTGATCTTGTGTGGGTGGAAGCCTGCTTTAGAAGAAGCCTGTGGGAAATGATCATGTATTTCACCTGCCTATTGTACATTATAGGTGAGCCCAGAGGTACACTAAGATACACATTTGGTAAGTGTCTTACATGTAAGAAACCAGTAATTTAATGCATTAATCACTAGAGTGCAATTATAGACCTTAATTTAGAAGGTATTAGTCATTCACCATAGATAACCTTCAGCGGCTATTAGAATTTCATAGTCCAAGTCCGTTACAACTGGCAAATGTCATTTGCACAACCAGCACACACAAGGGCCTGTTCTTTGGCTGGAAGCATATTTTTTCAGTATTAAATGCACTCCATTAAATACAAGAGAGAGTACCTGTTTGGGTCTTATTTCAATAAAGATTATATCCTAGTTGCATTTTAAGGGGGGCTTATAAAGGTTGCACATTATTAATGTATTTTATTAGCATGTTTAAAATGGAGTGGGATACACTAGAAATATTACAAGCACATCAGTAGAAGACATCATAGCTAGTGATAAACCATGGCAATAAACAGCCTATTAACCTGTTGCAGTCTTTATCAAAATATGAGACAAATGACTATTTGTTACAAAATCCATTAAAGCATTTATTGACCTTCTATGTATACTTTTTATATATGTTGAACTTTCATACGTGGTATTTTCTTGAAATTAGTAACATGCCTAAAATTAGGTATCTCGGTGCTTAATTTCAAGAAGCTGCATAAATCTAGGACACAGTAAAATTCTGTAAGTAATTGTTCCTAATTTTTGGTGCTCTCAGGTGTATAGTGGAGAGGACATCTTTCTTTCTCCCACTTTCCTAATCCCTTATGGTGCCTGCTAGGTGCCTAGCTCGCAATGTGTATGTGGCTTGCATAAGACAACGGAGGAGCAAGAAAGATGTCTCTGCTTAACACACACACCCTGGCAGAAAGACAACTTTCGTTGTCATTTCTTGCAAGTGACAAAACAGCATGAGAGGGCTGTGTAGGTGTGCCTTTTGTCATCAAAATATAACATGCTCATCTGCATCATTTGGAATGACGTTACTTCCTCTGTGCATGGAGGCACTGAAAGATGTCAGCACAGTGCTACAGAAAATACGGCTGCATTAACAGACAACTTGGTTGTTTCTTTTCTCTCTGAGTTACACAAGCACAGTAGCTGAATATATTGGCATCTTTTATTGAGTCCTGTGATTTACACATATTAAACTTGGAGGTTTTTAATAACTGAATCAGAGAGATTTAATCCAGAAGCAAATCTGCAGTTCTAATAATAGTGTGTGAGCATTGTTCGGTGATAAATCAAAGTCAGTGCACCGAGCTAAAAGAAGTTCCAGGTTGGATTTCCAACCATAACTTGGCACAAACTTTTGCAAAAACCACTTCTATAAATTTGTGACCCCTTGTTGGCAACAGCTGACTGTACAACAAGCAGCAGTGAGTACCCTGATTCCATGCTAAAATATACATAATGTATTAAACAAAAAGATGCTTAAAGACTACAGCCATGAAAGGATAGCAGTCCTGCTTACCTGCTGTTTCAGCCACTTCTGAAGTTTTTATTCACAATCTGAAACTGGTTTAACTGGCACCTAAACTGTCACTGGATTCTAGGCCTTTCTTCAGTAACCTCAATATAAAATTTTTCAGCCTTTTATGTATATGGGCAAACAGTTAGACGCCCAAACTGACAGGATCCACAAAAACCTAGGTGTTTTCCACCTGCATCAGCAAGCTACAACAGGATTATAAGTGAGGTATCCACATTAGACACACATTGAGACCTGTGTAAACTGGGGGCAAACACGTCTAAATCCTGATGCTGGTTCTTACTGTCACCACCTGGAAAGAGGTGCTGTGGCAGCAGGCTGAGTAGAAATGAGACTTACTACAGACTTACTGTCTTTTC